TTCAAATCATTTTTTGAGGTTTTAATTTAAAATTGCAGTTTGAAATAAAGTTTTAAAAAAACTTGTTTAAAGATCTAAATTCTAAACAGTTTTTTTAGAACTTTTTTTTGGTTCTGAAATAGTATTATACTAACACTAAATAATATAAATATATATGTAAAAAAATTATAAAATAAATTATTTTGATTCATGAACACTTAGATTTTGTAGGTTTGGAAAGGGTTGGTTTGACATAGTAAATATAACGCTTTGATAGATTTGTATATGTTATCATATTTTATTATATAGATACCATTGTTGATCTAGACTTAATCCAAATACAAGCATAATTTCTAGTATTGTTATTAGATTAATATGTGCAATACTTATCTCATTTGGTACATGCATTTGTTGATGTTTGAACTACATATTACTTTTCTAATCTTTTTATACAATATAATAAATTGATGTTTAAGAATTCTAAAATTATTAAAAAAATTGTTCTAAAAATTTTGACTATTTATAAAAGTTTATTATTTTTCTTTTTTTCAGAATCATAGACAGTTGTTGCCTGATTATATTTTCTAAATGTAAACTGTTAAATGATATTGATCAGGCCTGTATAATCATCTACTTCAGTTTTGACTTAAAAAGACCAAAAACTCTATCTGGACTAAATTTTGTATAATTCATTACTATAAAACTATAGATTATTTTATTATGAAGACTATTTATTACTTTTTATATTAGCATGTATTATACCATATTTTTTTTCAAACTATAAAAGTAAAATAGTTATATACAAGAAATATAACAGCATCAGCACTCTTTTTAATATTTTTACGTATTTTAGAAATAAGGTAATTAATCTGTATAAATAATATTTTTAGATACAACTTAAAAGATCTTACTATATTATTTTGAATTAATGATAATATTCCTAAGTATTATTTTGAGATACACAATTTAAAGCAAGCTAAGAATACTAAGAATTAATTTAACCAAATGTGAATACCGTAAAAATTTTTATTTTTTGAAAATATTTAGCTGGTACGTATGTACGTACGTACCTGGCTTTAGACTATCTTTGTAAGTAATAAACGTTACACTTATCGAATCAATTTTTTTTACTAAATTCTTATTATTATCGTTATTTCAAATAAACTTTGTTAACCGGTTATAACAGTATAAACAGGTCTTATAGTTAATTGATGATCATATGGGCCCCCAAAAGTAGAAACAAGGGAATTCGGGAAAATCGGCAAAAACTATTTTGTTACACAAAATCAAACCAATCAAACCAATCTAAAAATAGTTTATTCAATATTAAAAAACCTGTTTAAACAGGATTATTAGATCTGTGGAGCAGCGTCAAAAGCTTTTAACCATTGTATCGCAAAAATTTATAAAGTGATCAGTTAAATTTTACACCTGATCAATCAAACAGGTTAATTTTCAAATTCCCTGGTTTCTACTTTTGACGGCCCATATATATCGTTATTGCTTGCTATGCAATAAACTTTTCATTTCTTACGCCTTTGCTACAATGTCAGAAGTGTATCTCAAAGAACAAGAATACGGGAAAGATCGTGTTCGTTTAGCAAAGATTGTTAAGACAGGAAAATGGCATGAAATCATAGAACTCACTGTAAGTTTGAAGTATATCTATGTTTCATGATCCTTGTGAATTCCTTGTTTTATTTTATGCATTCAACCATTAGGTCCGCGTGCTTTTGGACGGCGAATTCGAACTTTCTTATACAAAAGCTGATAATTCTATGATTGTCGCTACTGATTCTATGAAAAACACTATTTATATTCTTGCAAAACAATTATCTTGTGTTGAAAATATTGAAATTTTTGCTACAGAAATTGGAAAACACTTTATTACCACATATTCTCATGTACATAAAGCTACTATTTCAATTATCAAGCATAAGTGGACTAGAATGTTGATTGACGGTAAACTTCATGACCATTCCTTCCATAGAGACGGTGAAGATGTTCATGATACCAAAGTTGTCGTTTCAAAAAAAGGTGTTACCATTGAATCTGGATTGAAAAATTTGTTAGTATTAAAAACTACAGGGTCTGCATTCTATGGATTCCTGAGAGACAAATGTAAGCAATAAATGAAATTGCATATTGATAAATTGATATATCATTCACTTTCTTTTTAAATATACAATTATATATTTTACTATTATAAATAGATACAACCCTTCCAGAGACAGATGATCGCATCCTTTCAACTAGTGTTGACGCAACTTGGACTTTTAATATCCAAAACATGGCTTCGATTGAGAAAATTCCCTTTAATGATATTTATGAATCAATTAAACAAATTACTTTACACACATTTGCCACGGATAACAGTGCATCTGTACAAGCTACATTGTATCTCATGGCCAAAAGCGTGTTGGAAAAGCATTCACAAATCGATTCTATTAGATATGAATTGCCAAATAAACATTATTTTACTTATGATCTTGAAAGGTTCGGATTAAAGAATACCGGAAAAGATTCTGATATCTTTGTACCTTTTAGTGATCCAGCGGGTATGTTGGCTATTGTCTTAATACTTGCTTAATTAAATAATATAATTACTAATAATAAAATTTTAATTGTTTTAGGATTGATTACAGCAACAGTTGCAAGAGTGAAATCAAGATTGTAAGAATATGACAATTGTAATGATTGGCTATATTATTGCAAAGAGTCCTCATGTGTATTGTAATTGTATAAAATGATTTTTTTTATTGTAATTTTATTTATGAAATTAAATATTTAAGAAACAGTGATTTTTGGTGAATAAAACTCTGTTGATTGTTGATTTCTTTAATTTGTTTATGAATTCTGCACATATACTGTAATAATCTGTGCTTTCGAGTTTTTGAATCTTGTTTTATTTCATTATTATTGTCTATTATTGTATTGTATGCAAATGGATTTTCATGTTAAATAACTGACATGTTAGGATGAAATTCGCTTAGCATAAAGTTTTTTATCGTTACATAATAATGCGGATTTCACTCTCAAGTGATCTGCGTGGCGAGTTTAAGCAGGATGTATTATATTTAATAACTAAATAGGTTTGTACATTAGTCAAAACTCTCTCGTACGCATCTACTGTAACAAAAAAATTTTCAAAATTAAAATCCGAAAATCTTATTTTATTTTGTCGATTTATAATTCAACATAGTAAAAATGCTATTTGAAAAATCCTATTTATTTTATAAGGATAATGTTAAATATCGCAGGTTGCTATATCGCAGGTTAATATGATCGACCAATTAGATCACAGGATCTTGTG